ATCATCATCATCATTCAATCATCAGTAATCAACATTATTATTATTATCATCAATAATAATCATCATTATTTTTATCATTATTATCACTATTAGTATTATCAGTATTATTATTTTGCCACCATTGTTATTATTGTTATATTGTTATTTTTGTTATATTGTTATTTTTGTTATATTGTTATTTTTGTTATATTGTTATTATTGTTACCATTGGACACCACACAACAGCTTCCAGCACTTAAATTTGGCAGGGATTGTTTACATTTGGTAAAATTACCCATTCATTACCACCAAAAACTGCTCTGTGAGCTGATGGAGTCTTGGGAAGAGAAAATCTCACCAAAATCTCACTACATTTAATTGTTAGGAAAAATCAAATCATGAATAAATATGATTCTTCTGGATTTTGACTCAGATTTCCACCCCAAGGGATGCTGGCTTGGAAAACTTGAGCCCTGAAAGTTTCTAAGGATTTGGGTCTAGAAATTCTGGGTCCTAAAAATGAAATAAAACCCAATCCTCTTGTCCAGACTGCTCAGTCATGTTCCAGGATTTTCATAGACACGATTTGCCATGAAATAACTCAAACCACCCATCCTGCTCTCTGAAAGGTCACAGGCACAGATGAACCTGGCTGGAAGATCAATAATGATAAAAATAAAATAAAATAAAATAAAATAAAATAAAATAAAATAAAATAAAATAAAATAAAATAAAATAAAATAAAATAAAAATCAATAATTATTACCAAAAAAATCCAATTTGTGCTGTCTGCCTGGTTTTATCAGCCTGCCTCATCATTAGGGAAGACACAGGAATTGAAGAGGAAACCCCACAATAAACGGCCTGGGCTGCTCAGGGATGGCTCAGGATATTCTGGGAAAATCCAGGCAGGAATGCTGAATCTCCTCTGCCTGGACAGCCAATTATTGCTGCCTTCACATCCCCCCTGAGAGCTCAGGTTTTGCAGCCTAATTTATGAAATTTATTCAATTTATTCAATTTATACCCCCCACCACCTCCACATCACCATAGCAGGACCAGCCTTATAAAGACATCATAAATATTGAATTACCAGGGAACAATTGGGATTTTGACAAATCACTTGGGGGTGTACAGGGAAACAATTACAGCAGGTTTGCTCAGGGGTAAAAAAAAAAAAAAAACACAAAACACAAAAACCCCAAACCCAGGACATCTCTGAAGTGGCTGGGGCAGAAATATCAGCCAGGATTTGTGGGTTTTGACTCCAGTCCAAGAATGAAGGTTTGATATAAATTTGGGAGGGTTTATTCACAAACATATCCAGGTACCCACGTTGATTCCCATTCGTCACAATCTGATTTTCCCGGGTAAATCCAGGCTGGTGCCCAGCTCCATCTGCACTGAGGGCAGGGGATTTCAGGCAGAAATTCCAGATTTAGGGCATGGAAAACCCTGGGGAACAGGAGCCACTTCCCAGGCGAGCCTCTGATTCCCAGGAAATCTGGGTTTGTAGGAGAACATTTCAACCCTTAGTTTTCAACACCTCATCAAAATCAGAGATTTCATCCCACAAATTCCATTATTCAGGCATCCCCAGTGCTCCTCTCCCACTGCAGACCCTGTGGCAAGAACCAGCCCTGGGTGAGCCCTGTGCAAAATTAACAGAGAAAAATAAGAAAGGCAAGATTTTACCTCGTGTTTCCCATTGGAAAAGCAGGCAATTCCTTAATCAGAGCCTCAAAATATTTTGGGAAAGCAACACTGCCAGCAACACCTTCCTGGCTTTGGAAGCACCAGCCCCAAGGTGAGAAGAAAACACCAGGGATTTTGACACCTCCCTGTATTTTTTATTTTTTTTTTACCCACAGCGAGCTGCCAGGTGCCAGCAGCTTTGATGTCTTTATTTTTTATTTTTTATTTTTAAGCATTGCAGCAGCCCCTGAAATAGCAGATCCACCCTCAGGGATGAGTGGGGGTTTCCAGCTCTGAGCTTTCCCTGCTCAAACCGGTGTTGAAAAGGAAACAATGCTCGAAAATCGTCAGGGGGAAGGACACGGTGCTGGCATTTTGTGCTGCAAATTGCCTCCAAAATAACCCTGCAAGAGACAATTCAAGCTGCCTCCAGCATTATCCCAGCTCAGCTGCTGGGGAAGTGAAATGATTCACAAAAGGAACGTGGAGAAGAAGCTGAGAAGGTAAAAAAAAAAAAAAAACAACCAAATTTGTGCTGGTTCAGATGTGCCATGGCCATTTTGCCTTTTCAATGAGAGGTGGGGTTTTTTTCTGCTTTTGTTTTTTGGGGTTTTTTGGGGTTTTTTTTTGTTTGTTTGTTTGTTTTTCCCCCTCAAGCTCCCAGACCTGCAGGTGGCCAAGGGAAGCTCAGACCTGAATTTCCCATCAAACCAATTCCTGAAGAATTCAGCCCAAAGCAGCTCAGGCCACCCCTGCTGGGGCAGGAGCAGCACAAGGAAATTTTCATCCTTTCTCCACATCCTCCCACGGCCATCCCGACCCTTTCAGCCCTTTTGCTGCACAAACTCAACTCCCAAGCCCTGCAGGTCCTGGCATATTTTTATTTTGGGGGGTTTATATATGATTTAGAGCACATGGTTCCTGCACACATCAATCTGTAGATAAAAACCCCAGTGAGAAATAAAATTCCCATTTCAGAGGCACAGGATGGGCTCCTTCCTTCTGCACATCTCATTCCTGTGGTTCAGACACAAATTTTGTGCTTCAGGAACCCAAATTTCTCAGGTTTTTACCCAATTCCTCCCCAGAGCAAGCCCAAAACTCGTGTGCAGAAGAGACTTTGCTGGTGCTGTGCCAAAGCTTCCAAACAAAACTTTTCCCTGATCCTGATCCAAGTCTATCAGGAAATAATTGGAGCTGACTGATGCACACCCTGGTGGGACTGAGCCCAAGAGCTTGTTTGGAAAGGGAATCAGCTTCAAAACCAGCTTTAAAACCAACTTTAAAACCAGCTTTAAAATCAGCTTTAAAACCAACTTTAAAATCAGATTTAAAACCAACTTTGAAATCAGCTTTAAAACCAGCCCAGCTCGTGCTGCTGAGGTTTGAAGCTCGCTGGGGAATGAGGAGAGGGGATTAGCCTGGAGGGATGGTGCCAAATATTCCCGTGGGATGCTCCCTTTGCCATGGGATAACATCCCTGCTCCCCACCCAGCACCAGCAGCACCCCCAGGAATGAAGGAAAAAAAAAAAAAAAAGCCACAAACTCCTCTGGGCAGACCCTGCTGCTCCCAGGGGTGAACAGCTTCCCACAACTCCAAAATCAACACCAAAAGTCTTCCTGCCACCATCAGTCTGAGTCACTCATGCAAGGTCAATACAAAGCTGGTTTTTTGTGGTCAGAGGGCAGGGAAACCTCAACCTGCAGAGCCCGAGTGCCACAGTGCTGGATTTTGGGAAACCCCGAGTGCCCTTCCCATGGAAAAGACAAGCAGCAAGCAGAAAAATTGCATTTTCTCACCACCAGAGGCCAATTCCAGCAGCAAACACTCCTGAAATGACACACGGGAAAGGCAGCACACAAAATGTGGCCCCTCTAACATCACACAGGGGGTGGGAATGTGCATTTTTAAATCTGGGTTTTCAAACTCTGGGAGTTAAAACTGCATGGCAGGGCTGGGGAGGTGGGACAGACCACACACACACACACACACAGAGATGCTGCTGACAGGAAAAGTTGGGGATGTGCCCTTTTCCTGAGCACTGATAAATGTTGGTGAGGAGCCCTCAGCTGAGCTCCTGCACATCCAGCAGTCACACATCTGGGAACATCCATGGATTTGCTCCCACTGCGTTGGATCTCAGGAATGTGGAGTTTTGGAGCTTTCTGTGCTTGCAGGCACTGACCCCCTGGAAAACACTGCTCTGGAGCTGGAACCTTGGAAAAGGCTTGGAAATATCAATAATGAGTTAGAAATCACAAATGTGCAGTGGGTTAGATGTGTGTATTTTCACTGGGTGATGGGTTTTAAATTTTAGGGTTTTATAGTATAGTGGTCGATATGGGACAGGATGGAAAATTTTGGGTGGTGTCTTTTTCTATCTTCACAGAACTCAGGCAGTAACCTCTGGTTGATCAGTCAAATGTCACTCTAAGGGTCGTGGGAATCTATTATTGGGTCAAAAGGATAAATAATGTAGTTGTTAAACTTCTATTGGTTTGTTTAGCTTTAAAAGGCCTTGAAGCAGCCTCAGCTGGAGCCATTTTTCCCACTTCTAGCAAAGAGCTGGAGGTGCTGTCATACTTTCTGTAATTTCTGATAAAATACAATAAACATCCAAGCCCAAACACAAAAATTACCTCAATCGTGTTTCTCTTAATCCTAGCTCTAAAAAAAACCCAGACAAAACTAATGACAAACCACTAATAAAGGATGCAAAGCCCAGCACTCACCCCCACACCTCTGCAGCTCCTGCAGGGACAGAATCCCAGGTCACACACAGCACCTACCCTGATCCCTGGCGATTTTAGCTTTTATATTCTTCATTTATTTCTAATCCTGC